CCAGAAACGGGCAGAGTTTACCGTAAGTTGGGTACAAAGGTCCGGGTAATTATTCAAATTCGTCGACAGTGGGATTTAAACCCCAGACCTCTTGCATAGCGGTCTGGCAACCTAACCACTACACTAAGATCGCCAGACCTTCGTATTTATTAAATTTAATCATCTCTTGATCATATATCATAATTAAAAAACAAATTGGTATATTTATTTTTATCATGCAGATATTATTAGTCCTTATATTGTCATATTTAAATAATCTGCATTTCACTTATAATTTAAATTACTTTTTTACCTATTCATTATGCAACATCCCGTAGGCTTCACTCTACTACTTTCAACCTAAGGTCAATACTGATATAGCTTTTATCATTCTGAGCAAAAGAAAAAAAGAAATAGATATAATGCAAAATGTAAATATTGTTTGAATGAATTAATTAGCAAACCTTCACAGCTTTATCAGCATGTGCTTCAGTGTAGTGATTGGCCTGCTTCTGAAAAAGCTATTTATCTTCAAAAAATTAGTGAAGAAAATATTTTATCTCACAAACGTACCTGTGATGATGAGGATGATATATCTGCTAAACAAGATTCTGAAAGCACAGATCAGTTATCTACACACCTCTACTAAAGTACTATTTTTAATTGATGTATTCGGCCTTTATCTCAAATGCAATCAAAAAAACTCTATTAGAAGCTTTTAAAAGCTATTATTTACAGAAATATCCCCTTCAGCATTGTTAACAATTCTTATCAACAAGAATATTTTCGTGATTTAAACTCTTCTTACCATCCTCCTTCCTGAGATATGATCAGTAAATATCTTTTAACTAAGATATTCTCTGATCATCTTCAGGAAAAATTAGAAACTCTTCCTGCTCTAACAGACCTCACAGTATCTTTAGACAGATTGACCGATAATTCAGAAAACTCTATTTATGGGTTTATAGCTCTTAAAGAGTATCAGGAAACTGTACTAGATATTCTTGATCTGTCTGCAAATCATCATACTAGTAACTTTCTTAAGGAGAAAGTAAAAGAAGTGTTATCAGCAAGTAGTATTCAAATATTATCTGTTATTGTGGTTGTTGCTAATAACGTCTTAAATATGGATAAAATAAGACATATGCTTAATGTAAGTATGATATATTTTTAATACATAGTATATATTTGTTATAGTTATTAAATATACTTATCTTAATTATTAAATTTAGGATGAATATTCTAATATAATCCCTATTCACTGCTGCTTACATATTTTTAACTTGATTATTAAAGATATTGTTAGCTTCCCTGCTACCGCTTCTGTTTATGAAAAAAATCAAAAACTCATTAACTTTTTTAATTTATCTCATATCTGGTATCAAGAACTACAAAATTAGCAAAAAGATAAAAAAATTAAATACTCTCTGACAATGTTTTGTAAAACAAAGTAGTATTTGCTTTCTAAAGTCTGTATGGGTATATTGATATATAAACAAGGTTTTCAGTATTGTTTGATATTAAGTGAAACCAAATGTTCCAAATATCTTGAAATTGATAATAATATAGTAAAAGACATCATTCACAATAAATATCATTTTGCTACTAATGATATATTGATGAAAGTAGTTAAACTAGTGGTTGATACCATTGGAAAGTTAGAATCAAACAATTCTATACTTGCTGACATTTTTAAAGAACTCATCCATATCTACTACAAATTATCTTCACTTCAAGTTCTTATTAATAGTTTTCAGGAACATGCTCTTGCTGTTATTAACAAACGTGCAAGGGAGTTCGAAAGTAATATTTACTTTATTGCATTATTTCTTTCTCCAACTCATAAAAAACTAGTCGTATCTAAAAAAATGAATAGAGATAAAATTATTTGTGCTTCATTAGAATTGGCTAAAGTTTGGAATTTCAGTAAAAGAGACATGAGTCTTTTGTTTAAAGAACTCATTAGTTACAAAAACAGTAATTCTCCATTCGACAAAATCTCTCTTAACTTATCAAAGACTATATGATCTTTCTGAGCTAAATTTACTGGAAATGCACCTATACTATGTTGTTTTGTGATGAAAGTTTTTGCTATTGTTCCTCACAGTGCTAGCTATGAATGGCTTTTTTCATTACTTGGTCTAGTAAAATCAAAAAGTCAAAATAAAATTACATCAGATAATCTTTCTATCCTTAAACAGCTCAGAAATGAGTTCAAGAAAAAAGTACCCACCAAAGACAAGAAATATAGAACTATTTCTGAGCCTTTAATCGACAGCAACAAAAATTTGGAGATCTTCTTTGATGAGAAAAATAAAATGTTAAAAGATTTAGATGAAGAGCTAGAAGAAATAATCGTAGAAAATGAAGTATTTTTTATAGAAGAGCTTTTTGATTTTGAAATATTTGAAAGATATCAAGAAGTATTAGAAAACTTATCTCAGATTAACATGGAACAAAATCTGTCTCTTCTAGAAGGGGATTGGTCCGTTAACAATATTATACTTGAAAACCTATAGATTTTTAACTGAATATATTATTTGTTATACTGTATAAGTTATTTTTTTATAAATAAAGAAATTTTTAATACATATTGAATGAATTTAACATACTAAACTGGGGTCCTGCATATACTAATTAATCTATGTCAGATTGGGGTAGCTGATTATCTAATAGAATCAAACATATATTTAGTCTCATTGATTGTTAATATATATAATAAGATTTTTTGATCAAAAAAATTATGATGCAATTTTTATAGTATAAGATTAATAAAATTCTTTTGGATATTTAATGTTCAATAATAATTTTTTTTTTCTTTATTATACTTAACAACCTAATATATTCAGATTTTATACGCTACAGTAAAATTTTCAATTAAACAATAAACTTAAACTCAGTACATATATAAATTATATATGTACTGAGTTTAAGTTTATTGTTTAATTGAAAATTTTACTATAGTGTATAAAATCTGAATGCATTAGGTTGTTAAGAATGTGATAAAGAAAAAAAAAATTATTATTGAATGTTAAATATTCAAAAGAATTTTATTAATCTTTTAATATAAAAATTGTATCATAATTTTTTGATCAAAAATCTTATTATACGTATAAAAAATCAATGAGACTTGAATAATTGGCTACCTCAATGTTTCGACTTTGATTAGGATAACTAAATAATTTTACATAACTTATGTAGGTAATAAAAATTCTATATATGTATTTAAATCATTCATTTTCGGGATTCTTTTTGGCTTTAAATTTATTACACCTAATGCTAAAAAAATTTATGATCACTGGAAACAATATTATATTCATTGTATATCGATATATTATATAATTTAAAATCTCTGATTTGATTTTTTGATGAGAGTTACATAGTATACTAAAAAGTGTGTAGTGTATTCTATTTTACAATAATTTTTTAATAAAACTCATACTATGAATATAAATAAACATTACATATTATAGTTACGATCAAGGAATGGTTTTAAATATTACACTATTTGATAAGAAACTTTCAATGTACAGTTGTTTGCGCACAGCTTTGAAATATAAAAAAGGGCCTACATGAAGTTCTAGAAATATTGAATTAGAAATAGAGCTTTTACTATTAGCATTAGGTTGATCTTTCGTAATATAGTTTTATGCATAGATCAGCAAAAAATCACTTCACCTCACGTATTAATAATTTTTTTCAGCTAATTTTTGTGGCAAATAGTTATTATGATGCTGTAAAAAGAAGTTACGGTTTGAATTTTATTTACAAAAGTTAATTCGCAATAAAATTCTTTAAAAATTTTAATTAAAAATATAAAATCATAACTTCTTTTTACAGCATTATAATAATCATTTTCCACAATAGTCAACTGAAAAAAATTGTTAGTACATGAGAACTAATATTTTCTATCAATTTTGCATAAAATCTGTATTATTTTACTAATTAATTAGTATCAGTATATGCAGGACTTAGTACTGTACAGATGTACATATGTGTTACCAGTTATATGTAAAAGTTATATATAATTTATCTTTAGGGGCATACCTCAGGTATGATAAGAAGAGCATGCCTTGGTTTGAGGCATGCTCTTTCAGACATGTCTAAAAATATTTCTGTACTCACAACCCTATTTTGGAACTATTATAATTTTAATTCTATATCATGTCGAGTTAAGGAAGAAAAAGGCTTATATTTATAACCTTTGGTTGCTAAGAATTAGTAATCTATGTTGGTGTTCATGATGTTTGAGTAGACTAATAGTTATTTTTAGCTATGGTATTCATGGTGTTAAAGGTAGTATTTGTAGTGCTTTTCGTATAATATTAAGATGATGCATATTACTAATTATTAATTAATAATACCTAGAAAAGTCTAAAAGGTTCTAGAACATTCTGTAAGATTCTAGAAGTTGTCATATGATTCTAAGATATTCTAAGACATTCTAAAACATTCTATAATATTCTAGACTATTCTACAATTTTCTGTATAATATAACCAAAAACTATAACTAATCATTATACAAAACTATTACTAATAAAACTATACTAAAATA